TGTAAACAAAAATATAACCTAATAAGTTGCAATTAAGGTGTATTGAATGTTAAAATGCATTTCAATTATAAAGTTAAGTGGTTATCATTACCCATTTTACTCTTGGTAATTTAATAATTTCATAAATTTCATAATTTAAAAGTTCAGTTTATAAGTATCGTATCGGTATCGATATCGACGATACTGGCCTTTAAAAATATCAGTATCGTATCGAAAACAAAATAAGTGGTATCGCCTATCCCTACCTTTAGCCAAAAAAGTGTAACGGCTAATGCTAAGCTGCGGTACGCAGGGAAGGTGACCAGAGGCCATTGTATAATTGGCTGAGGTGCCTCACGTGAAGTTAGCTGTTACGCTTTTTCCAATGGTAAGTAATACAGACCCTCGCATCTCCCAATAATAACAGACCAATCGATGTTTGACATCAAAGTACCACGAGAGCTATAGAGAGCAGACCGACTCCGCATGCTTTCGAATCCCTCTCGAGGTAATTTGATGTCAAACGCCGATCGGTCTGTGCAGCACCACTTCAAGTCCAACACACCTAATCCTTGAGTATGAGCAGAACGCGCTGACGTAAGATGTATACACTGGGCCAGTCATAACATTTTGAAACTGATGTGTGAATGGTGCTTTACCGGTAAAAAGACAGAATGTCATTGCCTGTGTGAACGGCGCATTTTTGTATTTAGTCGTTATTATGCAATTTACTGATATTACTGTGTGAAAGGGGCTTTTTATTTCATCTTATAAAAACGTATTTAGTGCTAAAACTTGTTTGAATGTTTTTTTGGAATTCAATCTTTGCAGAGTTACATTGATGACCATTTCGGAAGTTTAATGGCAAATCAGTCATGGGACCTGGAATCTTCTGTGTCAAAGATGACGCTTCGGTCTGCCCTGCTGGAGATGGCATGTTCCCTTAACATTCGTAACTGCTCAACACAGGCCAATCATCTGTTTGATCAGTGGTTCTCTTCCAACAAGACTTCTCAGTAAGTTTGTGTGGTGATTGACCCTTGGCTGAATTATTTGGATTGCTCTTCATTAACTACTAACTTGTCTTCTAATCTTGTGATTTGCAAAAAGGAGAAGGAAAGAGCTGTTGTCTAAAGCTCTTGACTTTTGTACTCTTCACTGCAGTATTTCTTGAGAACAGAGGAACGTCATGTGATATGCCTTGTTGTTTTAGGATTCCCAGCGATCTCATGAGAACAGTCTTCAAAGTGGCTGCTCAGACCGATGAAGGATGGGGTAAGCTTCTAGACACGTATAAACACTCCATCAATGACCAAGAGAAACGCGGCTCTGTGTAGTTAATGCTGCTCAATGTGAAAGCCCGCACGTGATGGAGATTTACCGCTGATTACAGAATGGCTTTACTGACAAGATGCGCATTAAATATCGCATGCGATTTATCGTGCAGCCCTACTCTTCATTAACTACTAACTTGTCTTCTAATCTTGTGATTCGCAAAACGGAGAAGGAAAGAGCTGTTGTCTAAAGCTCTTGACTTTTGTACTCTTCACTGCAGTATTTCTTGAGAACAGAGGAACGTCATGTGATATGCCTTGTTGTTTTAGGATTCCCAGCGATCTCATGAGAACAGTCTTCAAAGTGGCTGCTCAGACCGATGAAGGATGGGGTAAGCTTCTAGACACATATAAACACTCCATCAATGACCAAGAGAAACGCAAGACACTGGAAGCTTTGGCCAGCACTCAGGATATACTGAAAATCATTTGGTAAGGCCGGCAGCATGTTCCGTTAGAGGGAAAATTCTTTTGAGATGTCAGTACAGACATACCTGAATTTAATTTGTCTTTCCCTTTAAGGATTCTACAGAAAAGTCTTGATGGAAGTGAGATTCAAACTCAAGAATTTCCTTTGGTGATCAACGCAATTTGCAAGAACTTTGCTGGCTACCTCTACGCTTGGGATTTTGTGAAGGAGAACTGGGATAAAATCACTCAAAAGTGAGCGGTGAACTTATATTAAAAGAAAAAAACCTGGAGGAGGGTTACTTAAATATTAGTTTTTTAGCGACATTTTGAATCCACACATTTATTCTAAATAATATGCAGAATAATAATAAAGTATAACGACAAGGTATAAGGTCATGAAGATACCTTAAACCGTGTTTATTTAGAGGGGAAAGGTCATAGATGTTTAAGACCTGATATTGACACTCTAGATATATATATATATTTTTTTTTTTTTTTAA